ATGGACTGGCCAGTGGCATAGGAGGCCTTGGGCAGTGGAAGGTATGAGAACAAAGCAAAGACAGACACAAGGGACAGAGATGGAACAAAGAGCAATACATTCTTCAAACAGCAGGGACAAAGACCAAGGGGTCCTGCACATCAAGATGGGCCTGGAAAGCCATAGGGTAGGAGCTAGTGCAGCTGCAGGAAAGGTAACAGGAAAAGGTAAGTTAGCCCAAGAGGTGGGATCATAACAGACCTTGAATGGGTCTTGTTCCCCTGTAGCCTAAGAAATGCCAGTAGGTCATGAAACGGGAAAGTTCTGTGGTAAACTAAGTTTAGAAAACACTTTATCAACAGGTAAACAGGTTTCTTCATTTCAAAGCCTTCTCGGAGCTTTTGCTATGTGCCCATGATGGGTAGGTAAGTCATTACCCAGAAGAGATATGCAATGTAGCGCTTTCTACACAGTATTGACCACGGGGTCTCTCAACTAGTCAGCAGTGGGAGAGTGGAAGATAATGCCTGAGTTGCATCTTGAAGAAAGGCTGTAATGGGGATGATCTAGTTTGGGGTATTGGCTGTGGGGCTTCATTGAAGCCATCAGCCTCTAGCTCAGGTCCTTACCCAGCCCTTTGCTTCCTCTGTCTGTACCTGGGCCTCTGCATCACTGAGAAGTGAAGCAGGCTTTTGAGAAAGGTCCTCGGGAAAGGCTGAGAAGGCAGTTCAAAATGTATTGTAGGAAAACACTCAACCCAGGGAATGGCCTCCCCCAGGCCCTTGGACTGCAGCAGATGGTGTGGTTTAAATTTCAGAAATTGAGGACATTTTAAGGAAAAGAATGTTGGCAGGCATCAAGGCACTTATAAAACCATCTGAGTTGATGAGGGAATCCAGGCCTTATGCCTTTAGAAGATGAGGTAACATGAAGAGAGGTAAGGAACCTGAAGGCACAGATGAGGGTCTTCTGACAGAGGCTTCTGGACTGGAGAAAAAGAGAGGGCTGCAAAGTGAGAGAGGGGAGCAGACCCAGTGCTTTCTGACACCCTACACTGAGACAGACCACAGAGCCTACTCCCTTTGGAGCAAAAGAAACTCTCTACCCTCACTAGATGATTGGAGGTATGGGGGGGGGGGCTACTGAATGGGAGGAATGGTAAATGGTGTTCCTTGGGAAAGATCCAGAATTCATGAATCACAAAGATTAGGATCAAGTCTTGGCCTTGCCACTTTCTAGCTGTGTGACCTGGGAAGTGACAGCTGGCAAGCCTCCCCTTCTTCAGCTATAGGATGGAGTATCTACAGTAATATAATAAAAAGGACTCTGAGCTAGTAGTGACATAGCAAGTAAACAGTACTTTTCAGCTCCCATGGTTTTGGGTGGACACACATAGGTGTGTACAGGTGAAAAGCAGAACCAGGCCTAATATACTTGTAGTAGGAAGATGCCTTGGTAGAGGTGTAATATGTCAGCCATTGGAGTAGCAGAATGATATGGGTCACAAATTTGGCTGTGACATTCAGCTTGTCATGGAAAGGATATGGCCATGTCAATTATAGTCGCAGATGAACACACCTGCTTGAGAACAGGTACTAAGCATTGGTAGAGAATGGTGGCTAGGAGTTTGTTCTCAAAGTGTGGTGACTTGGTCTATCATTAACCTAGGACATCCTCGAGGAACTGTGCCCAATGTCTAGGGGACTGAACAAGATGCTCATTGGCCCCAAGGGGTAAGGAACTGTTCACAAAGACAGCTCTTATCTCTAGAGTTGATGGCCCGCACCAGTTGAGTTCAGTAGGGAAGCTACTTTTCAGCAAGGAAACCTAAATTGGTTATGGTTGCACATCTATAATCCTACCAAATAGGATGCTGAAACAGGAGGATTAAATATTTGAGGACTGGTGAGATGGCTCAGTGTGTAAAGTCATTTGCCACCAAACCTGATGGCTTGAGTTTAAGCCCCAGGTCCCACATGGTGGAAAGAGAGAACTGACTCATGAAATTCTCCTCTAGCCTCTGTGCGTGTCATGGCATATGTGTGCATGCACACACATGCATGTGCACACACTCGCGCACACACACATACACATACACAAAATGTTTGAAGTTAGACTACACAGTGACTTCTTGGCCAGCCTGGAACTGTGAGATTTTGTCTCAAAAAAGGAGGGAGGGGGAAAGGTGGTAGAGGCATTTGGAGGGGGGTGGGTATTTCTAAGGTTCACTCAGCCAAAACAACTTGATCAAATAGAACAGCTATGATCAGACCATTAAATGGGTCAAGGCAATGTCCCATACCACCACTAACTTACCAAGTGAATTTAATTAGGGTTGCTTACAGGAACATGGGTGAGGGTATCTCTCCTTCAGCAACCATTAACTGACCATAGATACTTACGGAGGAGTGGGTAAGGCCTCTTGAACCCTTCCTCCTCTGTGACAGGCTCAATCTTACTGCACATCTTGGTAGGTAGCTACAGTGACTGTGAGTTAGAGTCCAACAACTGCCAGATAGTGATGGTGTATGTCTTTAATCCCAGCATTGGGAGGCAGAAGCAGATGGATCTCTGTGAGTTCTGGGTCAGCCTAGTCTACATAGAGTTCCAGGACAGCCAGGGCTATATAAACAGATAAACCCTGTCTCGAAAAACAAACAAAAAGAGTCCAACAATTATATGAACTATGTCATGCTCAAAAGACCATGCTCCATAACACCCCAACCTTTCCCTTCGATATTACATTCTTCCATGATGTACCCTGAGCCCTGAAGAGAACAACATAGATAAGTGCTCCTCAACAGTCACTTACTCTTAACACTGATCAATTACAAGTCTCAAGAGAGCATTTTTCTATAATGTTGTGTCAAAAGGCAGCAGATACTAGAAAATCCAGGTTGCCTGGCCTGTGGGGGTTGTGTCATTATGGTTTCTTCAACAACTGGGAAGGTGTTAAGGTCAGGGTAGACTCCAGTCCCTCATTATTCTCTAGAACACACTTCAGAATCCCCATATTCTCTCAAAGATCCCACAGATGGCCCAGTTCCAAACTGCGTGATGGACCTCTCCCTGGCCTGACCCTCTATATCATTTTACTGGAACTGCCTCCTGCTGAGACCTCTCTTCTGTGCACTTCCAACCCCAATTTTGGTGAGACTCACTTCCTGTCTAAATCTGTAGGCAGTGGGCAGTATGAGGATCCTTAGAAGGGACCAGATTTCCTACCCTATGCCAGGTCTATCCTGGACCACCCACTTCTGACTTTATGAGGCTGAGGCATGGTCTGGGTGAAGATGGAAACTATGGCACTCTGGAAACCACAGGCAGCCACCATTCCTGCATGTCAGGGTTTCCCATTTCTCCCCATGGGAAGTTCGGGAGGACTCTTACCTTTGGAGTGAGGTACTTGGTTATTATTTCCTTCCCCTTCTCTCCAAGGTTTTCATCTGGAGTAACTTCATATTCTGCCTAAAACAGAAGGAAAAAAGAATAACTAGTTTTGCTACTGAAGTTGGAATAATTAAGGAGCCTTGGAACCTTTTGGTCAGGAACCACCTGACCAACCCCACTCCTTCTGCAGAATAACTGTGGCAGAGAGAGAGGAAGACCTGGCCAGGGAGCTCAAAGTCCAACCAAAACGTCTACTCTTCACAGGAATTGATTGAGCCAACCGTGAACTGAAACCATGAGCCCAATAGATTTCTGCTACAAATTTGATTTTTCTAATAGAAAATAGAAATAGAAATTTGACAAAAAAAAAAAAACATGGTGATTTTTCTAGATGGTCTTACCAAAACCTTAAGGGAAAATAGGTTTACAAACTTCAAATGATATAGTCTAGCAGTTCTCAACCCGTGGGTCACAACTCCTTTGGGGTTGCATATTAGAAATTTACATTATGAATCTTTTTGTTGTTATTGTTTTGTTTTGCGTTTTGAAACAGGGTTTCTCTGTGTAGCCCTGGGTCTCCTGGAACTCACTCTGTAGACCAGGCTGGCCTGGAGCTCACAGAAATCTGCCTGCCTCTGCCTCCCAAGTGCTGGGATTAAAGGCGTGTGCCACCACCTCCCAGTAACAGTAGCAACATTACAGTTATGAAGTAGCAATGAAATAATTTTATGGTTGGGGGTCACCACATGAGGAACTGTATCAAAAGGTATCAGCATTAGGAAGATTGAGAACCACTGGTATAGTCCATTGTAGTAGAGTTCATGGTAGCAGGAATGGGGGCCCAGGCTACTCATTTTTTTTTTAGATCAGGAAGCAGAACACTCAGGCTGAAAGTAGAATTGGGCTGTAACATGCAAGGTTTGCCACTAGAGCACTATGTCAGCCACAGGGCCTAACCCTTATGAGCCAAAGATTCACAACCAAAACTCTTTCTTGGTACCATTAAGAAACTTAGGACTCCAGGTCAATGGTTAATCCAGGAAATTCCAAGTTCTAAAGAAATCAGAAAATTAAAGTTTTACATTTTCCTTGAGCCAAGAAGGGGGCTCCTTCACTCATCCAATACACTTGCTACATGGATGAAAGGCCTCGTGTGTAACAAGAGGCTTGAGTTTGCTTTTCTCATTTAGTCAAAGCAACTAATTGCAGATGGTGTATAACCACTTCAAAATCTACCACCTGAGAATTTGAGGTGTCAGCCTCAACACCAAAGTATGGACCAAAAAGGCATGGGATTCAATGGTACAGTAGATAGATACTAGGCCCTCCTTGACAAATTGAATGCAGTTCACAGCTCAGGATCTAAGTTCTGGTCCCCTTGTGCCTGCTAAAAGACCCTCCTGGAAATACAGAAAGGTCAAGAAGCATGTGCAAGAACCACAGAGGGAGCAGCACAGTTTTACCCAAAACAAGCAAGTTCCCTTGCCTTGATGTCCCTCTTCTAATAAACAGCCAAGAGCCACAACTCTCCAATGTATAAACATGAAACCTATGACCATTTGGACTATGGTGTGGTTGCTCTAGAACACATTCAACCATTTAATTTATAGGCTAGAAATGAGGCTCAGAGAGGCAATAGTAACAGAGTAAGACTGGCCCATTATGCCTTGATTCCTACTCTGTCACCAGGTCATAGTATATCTCTACTACAGCCAATTCCTCCTCACCAGCAAAAGGAGGTTTGGCCTATTGAAACTTACATGGTGTCTTGATTTCACTGGTGAATTTTGAGATGTTTGAAGGTAGCTCTTTCTTCTTGATTCTTCGTTACTTTCTTCCCCTACATTCACAACAATCCCCCTAAAGTTCAGATGGGGACATGTGTACGTACACAAACACACACACATACACACACAGAGAGAGACAGAGAGAGACAGAGACAGAGACAGAGAGAGAGAGAGACACATGGAGTATTGATGATAGACTTGCCCAACATGGCTGGTATAACTATTCCCAATATACAGAGGGAAACACTGAGGTTCCAAGCTTCAAATTTAGCAGAGCTGGTAGCAACAGAGCTTCAACACTAAGGCCAACCCCCTTTTGGGGGGGAGCAAGGAAGCACCCAGTATCCTGTGTTCCTGGAAGCCTCACCCTGTGGTCTGGCACATGGACATAGCCAGACTGCTTTATAGGGCCAGGTCCCTGTGCAAATGGCTGACCACCATTTGTGGTAACTCAATCCCACTCTGAACACTGAATTTGCACTGTCCCAAAATACATCTATAAAGGCAGTTCTATTTAACCAGACGGAGGTCTGGGGCTCACCGATCAGTCTCAGTGACCAGTTGAAAATATTATTGCTCTGGGTTCTAAAAGCCATGTTAAAAAAGAAAATAACATCACATTCAGGTCAGCTGTCTCCCAGCAGAGGCCAGATGGGCGCAAAGTTCCACCGGAAGGCAGCTGAGAGCACTTGGGGACAGGCCTTCCCACTCCTGGATCAAAAGGCCTTTTTTTGACGAGACTATGTCAGGCCACCACCACTTGAGACACATTAGTTTTGGGAGGCAGAAAAGCAACAGAAAGATGCCAGCTGGTTTTTCCACACTGATTAAGTCACCTAGGGTGACAGGCCTTGTCTCCTGAATGATCCCAATGAGGGCTGGGGCTCATGGGGACAAGTCCTGAGAGGTCACCTAAAGAGAGAAGGAAGGTGCCATGATGGATGGGCTCAAGGCAGATCACATGACACAAGACTGGCCCTAGCCCAGAAACTACCTCTGCCAATATCCCTGTCCTGTAGTAGGGAAAGCTCTAACCAGTTTATACCAGCTCATACCAGAAAATGGAAGCAGCAAATAGAAGTTTGTGTGACAAGCCTAGAAATTTCCAAAAGTGGCAAGCAGATGATGAAAGAGAAAGAGAAAGAAGAGAAATACCTATGTGCTGTGGAATAAATTCATTACTCCAGTACTTGGAGGTTGAGGCAGGAGAATCTCGAGTTCTAAGTCAGCCAATTCTCTACTGGAAGACCCTGTCTTGTAATTTCTAAAGGATAAGAAAGGAAAACCTAATTCAAGGAATGGCCTTTGAACTCTACCTGAGTCCTTCCCACTGCTCATAACTCAGGTTATTTCTTCTTTCAGATTCACTCCAGGAGCAAACTGTGACTTATAACAAACGAAGGACAGCCTTGGGGAGCAGTGCTGTCCTGACACAAGGAGCAAAATGCTCTACTGAGTTCAGCCAACAAAGGATTATTCATCTATCTGTACCGCCAGAGAGCACCAACATCATTGGACATCCCAGCTTATAAACCTGCTATTTCAGGCTCTGGGCCTGCTCATACTTCATCATCAATCTCAGAAAATGCCATGGAAAGCAGATCCTAGCAGGGACCTCAGCTGATTTTTTTTTTTTTTTTTTTTGGATCATGTTCAAAGGAACCACTTTGGATCAAGGGCAGCATCTAAGCTGAATGTGTAGCATATACTTTAATTCCAGCATTTGAGATACAGAGTCAGGTGGATCTCTGTGAGTTTGAGGCCATCCTGGTCTACATATTGTGCTCCAAACCAGTCAAGGTTTTGTCTTTAAGAAAAACAAAACAAAACAAAAAGAACCAGAGTTTGTACCAGTTTCTGCTTCACTTCAGCAGACTTTGTGTCACCTTCTCTAGGACTGGCAGAAATATGATGTCAGACATGCCATGAAACTTTGCTATCTCCAGCTTCTATAATTATTGGTGTGGTCAGCTATTCCAAAGCCTATGTATTATGCAGGCCGGTACCATGTCTGGAACAGTCCTACTTCAAGCAGACCTTTCTGGAGAAACAGCAAGGTCCACCCACACTGGCCCTAGTTATTTGCATGCACTGACTACAGAGACTGCTCCTCCAAACCCTTTCCACCCAGTAGATGGGGAAGACCGTGTGAAGATGACGTGGTTTTCTTAACTCCCTTCCACCTGGCATCTCAGTCCCCACGCCTTCTGAAGACCCAGCTCTCACAGACCAGCCCCCCACGTCAGTCCCTTCCCCCATCCTAGCATGTCAGCACGAGGGAAACACATCAGCTAATCTTCTCACCTTGTGTGCACTCTGTAAATTTCTAAGCTATGAACCACATTCACACTTCAAGTGAGTGTCCATTTCCTGGGAATTCCCAGGTGATATTCTGTGTCATGCTGCAGGAGGTAGGCCCCAACCTAGCTTTCTTTCTGCTCTACAGTTACAATGCTGAGCCACTGCACGGGAACACCCTCAGAGGTCCCAGGTCAGATGGATTTGGCCTACTCCAAAAACTGCACCTGCCTGTCATGTGTTCCTCATTGATCACCCCAATCAGGCCCCTGGGTCAGAGATTTACTATGTCATTTTGGCACAGCATATGAGATGGGATCATCAAGAGAAGGGAAGAACAGGTTTTTCTTACCTATCTAGGTGAGGGTATAGATACTACCAGGAACTACATTTGGACCTTAGCCTGTGAGTAATGTCTGAACTAGAGCAGGTGCTGAAAAGAAGGAAGGAGGAGAGAGCCATTGGCTTTCCCAAGAGGGAGGTGAGAAGTCCCAGTATCAGAGTCTCACAGCTGAGGAGCACTAGTATACTACCTCCTGCCTGTCCCAAATTTCTCTTCTGAGACTCAGCCCCACTGTTTTTCTTCCCCCCTATAATGAGTTCCCCACAACCAAGCTCATCAGACCACCACACAAAAGCCTATCCCTGTCACTCTTAGTTCTGAATGAAAGTCAGACTAAACAAGCTCAGGCAAAACTTGGCTCTCGAAGGGTGATGGTGGCACACGCCTTTAATACCAGCACTCAGGAGGCAGAGGCAGGTGGATCTCTGTGAGTTCGAGACCAGTCCGGTCTACAAGAGCTAGTTCCAGGACAGCCTCCAAAGCCACAGAGAAACCCTGTCTCTAAAAACCAGAAAGAAAGAAAGAAAGAAAGAAAGAAAGAAAGAAAGAAAGAAAGAAAGCTAACAAAATGGGCTCAGTAATCCTCGTCTCAGTTTCTAGAGAAGTGTCTTCTCACCTGCTACCAACAGGGCAACAGCAGCATGAATGTTCTGGGATTAGGTTGCAGCTCCTACTATGCTATTGTATTTCTTAACCTGGAGAGAGCCAGCCATGATGTGAAGATGCTCAAGCCATGCCATGGAAAGAGCAGCCAGGAGAATGACTGGACCCTCTTGCCAACAGCCAGCACCAATTTGTCAGCCATGTGAATAACTGAGAAGCAGAACCAGCCAACAACCTGATGTGACCTTTCCAGATCCTTGAGCCAAGTGCACCTTCTACACCATCCCAGAGTTCCTGACCCACAAGACTATTCACTAACACACTGATTCTGATTCTTACTTTTTCTTTTCATTGTTTTTCCTTTTATTGAAAATAGATTCTTTTCTCATACAATATATTCTAATTACAGTTTTCCCTCTGTCTACTCCCGGTTCCTTCCCACTTCCCCTCCTTTCTGGATCCACTCCCTTTTTGTCTCACATTAGAAAAGGACAGGCTTCTATGAGACAACCAAACATGACAAAATAAAATATAATGATATATAGAAAAAAATCACATCAAGGCTGGTCAAGGCAATCCAACAGAAGAAAAAGAACCTCAAGAGCAGGCATAAGAATCAAAGACCCACTTTGATATGTTGATTCCTCTCTGAACTTAACGGCTGGTGCTGCTTACTTCTTCTGGCATTTTTTTTTTTTTTTTGCTGATATTGAATCTTTTCTTTACTCATGTGATAGAGTGTTGTGGAATATTATTTTAACTATGTAAAGGTGTGTTACATTGTTTCTGCTGCTTTTGTTAATAATGCAGAGATTTGTTACATTTGTTTGATTAAATAAAATTAACCTGGGAGTCCAGAGGCTGAGTCAATAACTAGCTGACAGGAAGTGGTAGGGAGGAACTTAGTGTAGTGAGGGTTCCTTGGGGGTGCTGAGCTCTTTTTTGGGAGAGAAGGCTAGCTGTTTGCTATTTAGCTTCTCTGACCTAACAGGATTTCACCTCAACCTTTGAATGCTGAGTTCTATAGAAGGATAGAGATTTAGCAGTGCCTGGCTTCAGTCTGTGTGGCTGAATCACTGCTGGTAGCTTTGGAGTTGCAATGGCCATTTGGGACAGTGGTTTCTTAAGGTGCGGCTACTATATTCAATGCAAAACAGCAGCAAAGAACTGGCTTTTCCATTCACTGCACAGCCCCCAACTGCAGAAGACAGACTCACTCACAGGAAATACCTGATAACATGCCAAGGAACCCAACTCAATATCAACCAACCTTCCCTCATGTCCCAAGAAGAGACTAGCAAACTTTGGATCTTGTCAAAATATGAGTTTCACATGAGTGGCCAGCTAATGGTTAAGGTCTCCAGAGAGGATGTTTAGGGAGCAACCCATCCATTTTGAAGATGCCCATGGCAAGATCCTCTTAGCCTGTGGGGATGACACTATCGTGAGCCACCATCCAATCCCTAGACAGAAACCAAACCTTTCTTTGCCCTCCAGAGATCAGACTTGGGTTACTGACTCTGCCTCTCAAAGAGAGAACTGTGGAAGCCCCTTGACAGCCCAGACTTGGGTGAATTATCTGCACTACCTGATGAGCCATACACAAGAACTCTACCCTCAAAACTAGTGGACCTATTTATTTGAAACCAGCCAGTTTGTATTTGACCTGAGAAATGTAGATGAGACTTCAGAGAAGAGCAATTCCTGGGCTTTGCCCACAGCCCTGTGGGCAAAAACAAAACAAAACAAAACAAAACAAAACAAAAAAACGTATTTTTAATAAGCTCCACTTAGTGAAAATTTAGCAGAGAGGTAAGAATGCTGAGGATGCGGAGCATTGGTGGCACACGCCTTTAATCCCAGCACTCGGGAGGCAGAGGCAGGAGCATCTCTGTGAGTTTGAGACGGGCCTGGGCTACAAGAGCTAGTTCCAGGACAGCCTCTAAAGCCACAGAGAAGCCCTGTCTCGTGGGGGGGGAAAACAATGCTGAGGATGGCACTGGCTATACCCTAAGTATCCAAATTGGTAATTAACTGCAATGCCAAAGATGCTGTTGCTTCCTATCTCCTCCATCCAGTCAAAATGAAAGAAAAAATAATAATTTCAGATGAAGTTATGCTGGCACTAGAAAACTCAGCAACATCTTCAAATATAAAAGAGAGGTCCAGAGGCTAATTATGACAACAGGTGGCAATGAAAGGAACTTACTAGTTCCTAGCTAAAAGTACCAAGGTGATAGGTCAGCCTCTCTAAGTGGGGGCTCTGTCAAGGTATATTTAGAGCTTTTGACCTGTTAATACATGAGCCAGACTCCATTTCCATTTTAATAAACAGCTCTTGGTACAGGCCCAGTAAGAAGGAAAGGACTGCACAACCAGAATGAAACTGGGCATCCATTGAGGGTTTTTTTCCCCCCTTCTTGTAGACTAGATGCACCTAACAGAACACATGGCTGGAAAATTCCACCAGCTCCTCAGCTCAGCCTGATCCTGCTCTGCCTCACCAACTCTTCAGACAGGTCTCATGACTTCTGCCCCCTCATCCTTTCCAGATGGGGAGAAGCCCTGGTCCTGTACTTGCAGACTTTGGTCATCATTGCTTCTCCAGCTGCCTCTACCTGCTGGGCAAAGCAGCCCCCACAGCCCAAAGTTTTATACCTCAGCTGTATAGTGACAACTCCTGACAATTCCCAGCCCAAGCCTTCCTTGTGAGATCCAGATCTAGATACCTATCTCTCCTGAAGCATCTTGACACAGGTATCTACTTAACTTCTCCACTGAATGCTGAAGAGGCTCAGACTATGAAATGAAACTCTTCATCTTCTATCAGCATGACCTCCCCAGAGCCTTAGCCTTGTTTCATTCTCCCAGTTGCTTGGAAGCTATGGTGGCTAATGTTGTTGTCAACTTGACTTGATTTACAGTCATGAAAGAGATGAACATGCCCATGGGGAGCCAACTAGATGAGGTTAACTGAAGTGAGAAGACTTACCCTAATATGAATGGCACCGTTCATGTCTTCCAACTGTATAAAAAAGAAAGGAAGAAATGGGACTGGAGCGATGGCTCAGAGGTTAGGAGCACTGGCTGCTAGTCCAGAGAACCTCAGCTCAATTCTCAGTACCCACCATGTGTCTGTTCACAAGTGTCTGTAATTCCAGTCCCAGGGGATCCAACACTGTCTTCTGGCCTCCAAAAGTACCAGGCATGTGCATAGTATACAAATATTCATACAAGCAAAATACCCACACACAAAAAGAAAACTTAAAAAGTAAGAAAGCCATTTTTAGGATGAGGAAGAGGCAGAGGCAACCTGAATTCATCATTCTCTGCTTCCTGACTATGTGTGCCTCGAGCTCCTAACACCAAGACTTCCCCTCCATGATGAACCAAAATAAATCCTTGCTTCCTTAAGCTGTTTTTATCAGTTATTCTATTCTCCCTAAGTGACTAACAAGGAAACCAGCCTCAACAATTCTATGTCATCTCCAGTCTATCAGGGAACTCTGGAAATTTTGTCTTCAAGACATGCTCCCTAAGCCAATCCAACCACCTGTCACTATTGTTTTTATGCTGGTCCAAACACTATGGCTCTCACCTGGATTGCTATAAACGTCCTCCTCTCAGATCTACCAGATTTTACCCATGTCCACCTAGACCAGATCCTGCCACCCACTGCTTTGCTAAAATCCACCGTTGGTTCCTGAACTTCATGCAACATAAAGCCAAAGTTTTTCAGAGGTTATAGGGTCATGCGTGATCAATGCTTCTCCTCCTCTCTGTGCCCCAACTGCTTCCTCTCTAACCATGGACACTCTTGCCAACAGGCCTTCTTACAGAAGGTTCTCTTTCTGCAATGCCCTTTCTACCTACTAGCTCCAACTCCTTCTAGTCTTCAGTCACATTTTACCTTTGCAAGAATACCTTTGCTTACGACTCTTAACACTACAACCAGGCTTCCTTTTCCTTAGTCCCAACACTAATATTCTCTGATTATTTTTTCCATCCCAGTTAACACTTTCTAGGACTTAAAAATCACTGTCCTCCTGTGGCACAGAGAGCACCCTTTCCTGGTGAGAAGGTGACATCACAAGTACAGGCATCTCAGACTATTCTATCAATTTGTCCCAAATGTCCAGAACTCTACCCACCAAATGAAGGTGAGGATGTGGTGATATCACTAGGCCCAAGATAAATGATAAATGGGTATTTATTGGGGACAATTACACAGAAAGATACAGAGAACCGCTGGATCGTTACCCTGCTCTTCGTACCAGATCCACTGACCTACCAGAAAGAGAGGGCAAAGGCAAGCCAAGCCTCAAGCTCCTCTCTTTCAGCTTCCATTTGCCTGAAGCCACTCCCAAGGAGGTGTGGCTACAGTTACAAGTTCACTGACAAGACGCCTACAACCAAAGAGTAATTTTGCTACATTAATGAAAGGCTAAAAACTATTGAGGACCTTGGTACTAGTGTTATGTTTTTATTTAAAAAAAGGAAAAGAGAAACCTGAGGGATGAGACATGTTGACTAGTTTATCCCATGGGCCCCACAGAGTAGGGAGACTGAGAGAGAAAAGGAACCGCCATGGCCGGTCACCATAGAGAGCCAAGAAAGAAACAGAGAGGAGAGAGAAAAGGAGGGAGGGAGGGAGGGAGGGAG